AAATCTAAGAGTATCTTCCCAGACAATTTTGTCCAATCTGAGAAACAGCAGAGAATGTAAATGTATAAAATCAGATAGTTAAAAACAAAACAAACAGGGGCTGGGGAGATGGCTCAGTGGAATAAGTGCTTCTCTGGTGAGCGCAAGAGCCTGAGTTCAATCCCTGGTCCCACCAAAACAAAACAAACAAACAAACAAAAACCAAAACAAACAAAGTATGAGACTGATAGCTCTTAGGAACAAGAAAATAGAAAACTTGATCCTTAATTCATCCTCTTTTCTTAGGTGCTCAAAACACTTAGCACAATAATGTGTTTTTATATTGTCTATATTTTTTACTACCCCTCAATGCTTTTTGGTGTACTATATGGAGAGATCTACTAAAATACATTCCTAGCAATAATAAGTCATGTCCTCTCTTGTATGGTTGTTTAGGTGTAATACATTGGAACTGTACTGAATGAAGTATCTTCTACTTCAGGTAAATAACTTCCTTGGGTATCTCAGAGGAGGGATGGGGCTAGTATAACTGGGAGTGGGCATTACACAATTTGATGTTGCATTTTATTTGGGAATAAGTTCCCAGTTGGATCAGAATACATGAAGAAAAAGTACTTGAATAAATAATAATGTGGAAAAATATTTGCCTCAAAAATAGAGAAACGAATGTTAAAACAGGATGGTATTTTAATGTCTTAAATTAAAAAACACCTTTAAACAATACAGTAGTACCTAGGCACTCATTTTTAACTGGGTCTAAGAGGCACTGAAAGTACCAAACACATTATTTTGACTAGGAAGCATAGTGAGTCTCCAGGCCATGGGCAGACACAAGTTGTTGCTTGTGCATCAAGTACCAAACAAACACAGTAGTGGGGTAATATTTTCAAATCAAAATGTATTGAATACCAAATTCCACAAGTTTTAAAACGATCTAGCACCAAGGTATGACTGTAAATGGCCAGAAATAACTGAGATCCATGGAAACGCACACGTGCAACTTGTGAATGTTCAAACCTGCAGAGTCTTCCCTGCAGGTAATTTGGCAGTATCTCAGAGCAGTCTCAAAGTTATGCTCTTTGGCCCTGGAATTTCACTTGTAGGAAATAACAGACTAAGTTGTGCACATAGCACATTAATACAGTAATGCTCACAATATTTACTAAGAGAAATATTGACAATAATTTATATATCAAAATAGAGAAATAAAAGGTAGGTAATGGGAAGTAGATATTTTGCAGAAAGAAAGTGGACCAAGAATTGGACGGGGAGGGAGGAGAAACAGATGAAAAAACAATGAAGATGTTAATATGTATGTGTACCAGTACCCCGAGAGGAATATTATCATTATGTACTGCAAATTAATAAATCTCAAATCCTAAAAGATGATATATAAAATTGTTTTAAAGCCAGTGTCTCAGAAGAATACTTGACAACAAACAGCATCCACCTAGAGAGTCACCATCTCTAGGTGGTAGACCCCTATAATTTTTAATTTATTTCTAAATCTTTTTCTGTATATTTAAAATTTTTCTGCAATAAATTTTTCTATTTTTCTAATTAGGGGGATGTGGAGAGAGTATTTTTAAAATGTGTATGGAAAAGCCAAAGCAATATGTTCTAATGGAAACACTCTGGTATACACTCCCTTAAAATATTCCGTGATGAATCAAAGCAACCATTGTATTTTTCCCTATGAATAGGCCATGTCTAACTTAGTAATAGGTGGGGGAAAATGGAAGTTGATGGGAAAGGTAAGACAGAGTATTCACCATCTTAGCTAGTAAACTTAATTTTACTTAGGTAGGTTCCTGTCTTTAAAGTCTTCATTATTGTTTTTGTGGGTTTTGTTTCTTTACTGTTTTTCTTTGCAGAACCAGGGATTGAACTCAGGCTCTTGTGCTTGCCAGGGAAGCGCTTATTCCACTGAGCCATCTCCCCGGCCCCTCTTCATTGTGTTTTTGTAATACTGAGAATTAAAACCTGGACCTTCCCATAGAGATGTATTCCCAGACCTTTCACATTTTTATTTTGTGACAGGACCTCACTAAGACACTAAATTGCCCAGGCTTTGCTTGGTTTTGTAATTCTCCCAGGCTGCCTGGATTACAGGCTTGCCCACCACACCCAGTTTAAAGTTCTCTATACTAGCCAGATAATACAAAAGGTTTCAGTTGTAATCTTATAATTTCCTCTGATTTTTAGAAATAAAATATTCCATTAACATGTGCCAACTATGCTGCCTCAAAAATTACATTACTACTAGTAGTTAGCAGTAGGAGTAGTAGCAGTAGTGCTACTTACTATTGGCTCCAGGCATCTAACCCAGGGTCTTGGTCACACTAAGCACTTGCTCTTCCATGAACTACAAATTATTTTTAAATAGTAAGTTTTCATTCATGTCCTGGATAATGATATTTTTCTATCAACAACAGATTAAATGTATGACAGTGGGACTATAAGGATGTACCACCTAATGGTGTCATGGCCATCTTAGTTGGTGTAATTATACTCTGTGATGGTCATATAATGATGAAATCACCAAACAAGGCATTTCTTGGAACATATCCTCATCGTTAATCACATGTGACTGACTGTAGATGATACAAAATTCCAAAGTACAGAACAGTATACGGTGAAAATAAAGCTACTTTTCATTCCTCCTCTCAAATTCCCCTGAGGCCATCAGCATTATTATTGTGTGAATTTTCTGGAGAATATCCATTTAGGTGATGCTTTCTTTTTTTCTTTTTCTTTTCTTTTTTTTTTTCTTTTTTTTTGGCTGGCTCAGGCTGCCATAAGGGTGGGTCTGGTAAGGCATGGGGAGCTGGGGATCAAACCACAGCCCCTGAGGCTGACTGGGTTTGCCCCAGCAGGCGCTTAAACAAGTGAACTAACCCACAAGCCCCCAGGTGATCTTTTTCATTTGATTGAAGGCAAGCAATACACATTACTTTGTCCTTTTACATTTAATGTCTTGGAAACTGAATGGACCTTATTAGTACTTATAAAGCTGCCTCTTTCTTTTCCTGATAAATGTTCCATTGTATGAAAATCCTATAATTTAACTAGTCTCCAATTACTGGGCACTTGTTTATTTTCTTTGTTGTTCTATCAAGCAGTACACACTAAAAAAAACTAATATATATAGTTAACATTCATACAAGTATATTTATGAAATAAACTCTTATAAGTACAATTTGAAATTTTGATGGATGCTGCCAAACCACCCCCTCTACAGACAGCAGTAAAGGTTTATGCTTTCACCAGCAATGCAGAAAAGCATATATGTTAGCTAACTTTTTGGTTTTTACTAATCTGTTAAGCTTGTTTAAAGTCTTGTAGTTTTATTTTTCATATCTTATAAGTTCATGAATAAGATTACTTAGTATTTCATATATTTAATATTAAGATATTACTATTTTTGTTATTATTATGTTCATGTCTTTTACATCTTTTTTTTGTGGAACCGGGAATTGAACTCAGGCCTTGTGTTTGCCAGGTAAGCACTTATTCCACTGAGCCATCTCCCCGGCCCCTCTTTTACATCTTTTTAAAAACTAGAAATTACTCCAGGCTCTGTTTGTGAGTTGTAAAATTTTTTCCTATTTAGTAATTTGTCATCTATTTTGCTCTGTCTAATTTTGTTTTTGAGACAGGGTTTTCTTGCTCAGTTCAGGCTGGTTAGAACTCACTATGTAGCTCAGACTGACTTTGATCTCACAGAGATCCTCCTGCCTCAGCCTCTTGAGTGCTGGGATTATAGGCATGCACCACGTTGCCCAACCTGGGAATTTTTTTGTGTTAGATATTTTTTCTCTTTCTAAATGAAAGTTTCAACTATTATTCTTAGTCCTACACCTGATTAAAGAGTTTAATCATCCTCAAGGCACTAGAAACCAAACTTCTGTTTCATCTATGCTGCAATATAACTATTTTATGAGCAATCAAAGGTAAATTAGAATACTTTGCAGTGTTACAAGTTCCCTAGAACTCCATTTCTTAACCCTCCACTGTCTAATAATAGTTTCAAGCAAGCATGTTATAGCACCAGGGAAATCCCACTTTAAGAACTTTTTTTGCCAAGAAAATTTGGATGGGGTTTCACAGCTGAATTATGGTCAACAGTAGGACTCTGAAAGGCCTAGGCTTGAATTCAAGCCTCACTATGCACTTACTGTGAGTTTTACTTAATCTCTTAGAATCATATTTCCTTTATCTCAAAAGGGAGACAAAAGTAGTATGTATCTCGGGGGTTTTTGCTATATATTTATGGATAATCCACATTACACAGCTCTCATAATGTGAGTTATCACTACTACCTTTTCAGAAGGTCACATAACAAGCAGTTGTTACTATAATCAGCACAACCAAATGGAACTTTAGAAGGCAGATTTTTTTAATCTTTTAGATGTAAGTGGTTTCTCCAAGGTTTTTCCTGCCCAGCATATAACCAACACCCTCTGCTCTACCTAGATTAAAAAAAAAGGAAGAAGAACATGCAAATGCTGGTCCTAAAAGGTTGGAGGCTTGGTAGCAAGCCTGGAGATGTGTGTCATCTCACTGTATTCCCCCTGCCCTGTGGATTACTATAAAAGGCTCTTGCACACGTGGACATGGGGAAATAATAATTTGAAGCAAATGAGGCCTGCTCATCTTCTCAGAGCTAGCTTTGAATAAATCCCTTTTTTCTTTCCACCAAAAATCTATGGCTCCTTTTGATTTGGTTAGCAGTGAACAAATGAGCCTGAGCATGTGGACCCAAGGGGCCACTAACACGATTACTGGCATTTTTTAAAAATCTCCTGTTGGTGGTGATGTTGGATGTTCCTTGAAGTTCAGAACCTTGTGGATATTCTTCACAGTATCCAGTACCTGTACCTAAGCTAATAATGACAATAATAATACAAGAAAAACAATAATAACAGTAACAATCTCAAACAAAGGCCTATCCTTGTCCAGAAGATTTTTACCTCAGGGGCTTTCCCTTCAAATTGAGGATATTTGCAGTCAGAGTCATCATCACCCCACTTCTCATAATACTGTGCACAGTTGTGTGGATGACTCTCGTCCATGCTGTCCTTTGTTTGACCCCGGACAATTCCACTGAAACAGAAGGAAGGACAGTATTGGGTAAAGAACTATGCAATATTTGCTGCTCCAACATAAGAATGAGGGCTTGAAGACCTTACCCAATGCCATGAATTGCTAAGCAGACCATATAGACGACAAAAAGTTGGTGTGTAACCCAGAAGAGCTCAAAATAGTTCCTTCGAATAAACTCCATAGCTGAAGTTACCATGAGAATCAAGGCTAGTGTGCCAATCACTCCAGTGAGACCAGCAATGCTGGTGAATGTCACATACAACACTGTCTGTAAAAGGAGAAATGTCAGGTGGATACAATGTGCATGAAGGATGCCGTGATTTTCTTGCTCATGACCAGATCCCAGATACTTTGCCACTCAGCCAACTCACCGTGTTTGGGGACAAGATGGGATTTAGCCAAGAATCCTTATGTTTCTCATGACGAGATAGGCTGGAGAGAACTGAGGTAAGGGATCCATCTGTGGCCTGTTGGCTTCTGCTGTAGCGTTCAAAGTTAAACAAGTGTGCAATGATGTGAATGGCTAAACAGAAAGATAAGCAGCAACAGCAACACTCAGTGGTTTCAGGAACATTATGACTGGTATGCTCCATCAAAATAAGGCAGTAGTACTGGCAAATGCTGAATCCATAGTAAGTGCCCAACAATTCAGAGCCAGCCGAGGTCTTTTTTTATACCCACTCAGTACCCAAAGGGATAGAATGTAAGTACCTTGAATAAAGGACTGTAGCAGTCCTTGACAAATAGTGCTCGGTCCTCAGTATGCTTTAAATGTTTATATGCATGGGTGAATGAAATGAAATTGTGAATGCCCTGGGGTACACAATTTCATGTTTTGCCTGAGTTACCTGTGAATATGCAGATCATGTATGCCACCAGTTTATGGAAGGTGAGGTTGTGATCCAATGGCTTCCTCAGTGTGCGATTACAAAACTACAAATGTAAAGTGATCAATGTCACATGTCACCAATCAACCCTGTGAAAGTCACTAACCCATAACCAACATGTCTTAGACACATGCTAATGCCCAGCCATTCTTTCCCACCCCTGAGTCACCAAAGGAGGTCTCTTGTTTCCATTCTTAGGGACTCATTGAGCAATCCTACTGAGGGCATCAGGATTAATATGAAATTGGCAAAGGAGAGGCTGGGACTCACTGAGCAGGAGCCTCTGATGAAGGACAGCAGATTTCGACACACAGGAAGAAGGATCAACATGCTGTTAAAGTTCAAGCACTTCGCAGAGGCTCGGGCCACAGCTAACGCCGTCTAGAGCAGAGAAGAGACTGCTGTTTCATCTCACCATCAGGTATTTAACCACCGGCCCAGTCCACCCACTTACTTGTCTGAGCCTACGTATGGACAGAGTTATAGCTTCCCCCCCACCTTCCCTCTCTCAGTAGTCAGTACCATTAGGCCAGGTCTCTGTTTGCAAGCAGACAGAAAATGTGCTGATTTTAATACTGAACTGTGAAATTCCTATAATAATGATTTGGTAATGTTTAAAAATGCATTCACTGATAAGAAATAAGATGATTTAATTATTCTATGCTAGCAAATGTGTTGTATAACTATAATATATGGCAGTGAGCTTTTTGGCTTAATACACTTAATTATGACATTATTTGAATAATAATTAATTTTTTGGTATTTTTTAGGAAAGGGTCTACAGGGTGTTTAGAGTCTCACTACTAGATCAGACTCATAGGGATCTGCCTGTTTTCAGCCTCCCAAGAGCTGGGATTATAGGAGCACACCACCACACCCAGTCTCAATTGCCATCTCAGCATAGCCTGGAGGCGGGGCCAATTATTATTCTTGAAGCAACCTTAAAGATCATATATGCTTTTATATACATTTTAAGTAGACCTCATGTCTAAATTTATAATTACAAATGGTGACTATGATGTCTTTTCTGTATCTCATGTTGCAATTATAAGCATCAAATAATAGCATAATAAAATAAGAAGTGTAACTACTGAAATGCTTTTAAAATATCTTTAAAATTGAGTAAGGTTAGGCAAGGCTAGGAGAACTATTTTTTATTTTTAGTTTTGCAGCGCAGAGGACTGAACCTAGAGCCTCCCAAGTACTCCACTAGCACTTTTTCTCTGAGCTACACCACCACCCTCGAGAAGTTAGAAACTAAAAAGTTTTCAAGCTGATTTTTTTTTTGGTAACCAGTGACATAAATCAAGAACAACTTGTTCTATGTCAGTAGAAACTGTCAGAAAAGGAGATAATAAATTGGAGTTCTATAGAAATAGCCAAGAAACACGCCTGACTAGGTATGGGTTAGACAAAATATGTTCAACTCCATCACAACTATGCCTGACTTCTCATCTCTATGTAAGTGGTCTCTGAGTCTGCTCATGTACTTGGGACTATAGGTGACAGAGTCTGACAATTTTGTAGTCGTACCGGGAGGTGGTGGCAGCAGCTAGGTAATTTTTGTTTTGCTTCAGCTGACTGGCCAGCCTTACATATGTGCCTTATAAAGACTCGCTAAAAAGAGGAGTATGGGTGAGAGTTAATAAATTTAGTTTAATAATTTTCAGTCTTTTCCCAGTAATCTTTAAGGCACAAAAGCTTTTTGTATAACACCCAACCCTAGAAAAACGTGCCATCAATTTGATAAGCCAGGTCAAGATCTGCTTAATGTCCACAGTGTTTTATAATGAAGGCCATGTAGTGCACAAGAGCTGCCCTACTATTTTCCATTTCTAGCTTTTCCACATGACCCATGTTTTCTCCCTCTGCTGAGTCACACTCTGACTGTTTTTGGTAGAGACAGCCTGTTCCATTTCAGAATAAATTTTCTCTGTTCATCTCTGAAATCCTACATTTCCTCATTGGTTCTCACAGCTTGCTTATCTGAGTCACAGAGGTTTCTTAAAGCTAAAATTGGCAAGACAGTTGAAAATACTAAAGTATAATTTCACAGTTCCATATTTTATGGTAGCTATCTGTGTGGGATAAATTGTTTTTAAAGAAAATCTTTTCCCCCCATTGTTTCACATTACAATACCCCACTGAATATCCATTTCTGTATATCAACTCTCACTAATGTTATAATTAAAATGTTCCTGTCATTGTTTTATTAACAGGATTTAAACTCCTTCCGCATCTTGATTCAAGGTGAGTCAAGTTGCCCTCTGTATTCTCCCAAAGAGACCATGAACTTAAGAAATACTGTATGGAAGGATTAAATCAAGTATGGTGCATCAATGCAATAGTGTTATTCTGCTCATCATGTAGTGTTGTGGTGGTAAATGTTTTAACCATGAGCTTTGCCATGGGGAGGGGATTCCAATTTCCAGCATTTACCTATTTTGATGATATAACTACTCCTACAATTCTATGTTGCTTAATCTCATTAAAGACAGCTTATTTACAATTAATTTTTGTAAAATAGAGCTTTGGAGGGGATACAGATGAATGTCCATTTTGTATCTGTGTATTCAAAACGATTAGGATAGATATATAGTTACATTCTCTTAATGAATAGAGGGCTTTGTTCTAATGGTGTTTGTAAATAGGATATCATGTCTGCATCTTGTACAGCAAATAACCACTAGGAAGAATGTATGCAATGTGTTAATTATTGAAACTGTTCTGCCAATTTGGTTTGAAACTGTCTCATTGCTATTTGTTTCTCAATAAAATTATGGAAAAATATAGAGCTTTGGGCTGAGGAGATGGTTCAGTAGAATATGTGCTTCCCTGGCAAGCACAAGGGCCTGAGTTCAATCCCTGGTCCTGCCAAAAAGTAAATAAATAAATAAATAAATAAATAAAACAAATAGAGCTTTAAACATGAAGCATTTGCAGGATATCAGTATGATTCATTTTTCTGCTGCTGATTTTTTGGTCATGAAGTAATCAAGTTCTTAATTATTAGTCACATTTATTGCATCATTCCCTTAATACAAATCTATTTTTAAAACAAATTAGCACTTCCTTCTGTGTGTTTGAGTTTCTGGGTTTTAGTTCCTGAAGGAAGACCAATGATGAATATTTAAGTAGGAAAACAGCAGGGTGAAATAAGCCATGAAGAGAACACTGAAAGTTGTTGTGATCTCAATATGGAACTTTTGATTATGTTGAGTAAAGAAAGAATTTTAAAGGACAAGATGTCTTTATGTACATTGAGTGGCTCTTTGTGGAAAGATATTGGGGGAAAAGGCACTGTTAAATTCAAAGTGATTTAAACAAACCCTTTACTTATTATTGGATACTACTAGAAATGGAAGTCGGGTTTTCTCTTCTAACCAGGTAGGCTGCAGGTACATCAGCCTGGAAAAGAAGCAGCTTTACCTCCGTGTTGGCCTCCACATCCATATGTTCAACCCACCTTCCTCCTGGCTTCTGTTTCTGTGTTTGACCCACGACTACCCCATCCTTCATACTGTTACCTTAACCTGACATCACATTTCTACAGGCTTGCAGCTCATGTGTGCATCTGTGTGTGTGCGTGTGTGTGTGTGTGTGTGTGTGTGTGTGTGTGTTCTACTGGGAACTGAACCCCAGGCTTTCTCATTGAGTTATGCTCCCAGCCCCTTTTTATTTGTATTTTGAGACAGGGTCTTGTTCATTTGCCCTGAAAGGTTCAAATTTGTAATCCTCCTGCCTCAGCCTTCCTGAATGCCAGGGAGGTGTGTGCCAGCATGCCTGGCCTCTTTCTGTAGGCCTTCAATTTTTCAGCAACACTCACCCCAAGCTCCACTAAATATTTTTTTCTATGTGATAGAGAGGTGAAATTAGTCCACAGCAGGGGTTTCACTATGTCTTGGGTTTTTGTTTCTTTTTTCCCTCAAACTCTTAAAGTTGTAAGCAGAAGTCTATAAAACAGATAAAGGCTGTTCTGGCTTAAGTGGGGGCAGGGGCAGGAGCACTGCCTTCTTATCATTCCCTGTAGAAACACCTGAACTTGTGGGAACTAGTTTGAAAATCAATACCTAATAGTTTTCTTTAGTGAATGTTTTTCTTATGTGGCCAGGGGAGTAAACCCTAGATAGAGTTGTCAGATTAACTAAGTAAACATACAAGATGTCTAGCCAAATTTGAACTTCGGATTTTAAGAAAGTGAATATATTTTATCTCTATGTTCCATGCAATATTTCAAACATACTTATATCAAAAATGATTCTTGATCAAGAATTCAAATCTAAAATTCCTTTATTTTTCTGGCAATGGTATCCATGGAAGAAAACAGAGCAGCACATTACAAAGGATCCAGAATCAGAAATTTGCAAAAGAAAAAGAAGCCAAAAGCAATGACACATAGCTCTAAGTTCAGCTACACAAGAAGCTAAGGTAAGAGTTCTAGGCTAGTCTGGGCAGTTTGGCAAAATTTTGTTTCAAAAATAGAGAGGGAAAGAGAGAGAGAGAGAGAGAGAGAGAGAGAGAGAGAGAGAGAGAGAGAGAGAGAGATTCTCCACATCATATTTGTAATACTCACACCAAGAATTTCTCTTGTGTAATAGTAATTGTCAGACTTCTCATATGTCAGGAATGTTTGTGCAAATAGAAAAGCATTCAGCGCCATCCAAACAAGCTAGAAAAAGAAAACAAGGAATATAGTGAAATTGGGAAGGAGTACCAAAATGATAGGAAATACTGTGATCATCTGGAATATTTTGTATTTATTGGTTTTCATTTGCAATGAATACCACTACACTAGTACCTGAGCTGCTTTTAGGGAGGTTAGGCACCCTGAGATGTGCACTGGATGCTAATGTACAGGGTCAGAAATCTAGGGTCCCTGGGCTAAATCTGAATCTTCACCAGTTTTGCACACACGGTAAATTAGGAATTTTTTGTTTTCTTATTTTTTTTGTCTTTTTGAGACAGGGTCTTGCTATGTAGTTCAGGTTGGCCTACAGCTCACTTTGTACCCCAGGCTAGTCTCAATCTCTTAACAATCCTCCTTCCTCAGCTTCCCAAGTACTGGGATTACAAGGATGTGCCAACATGCCTAGCTATATGTTTTCATATTTTTAAATGGTTAAAGCAGCCAAAGAAGAAGAATATTTCATGACATAAGAAATACATGAAATTCCCATTCCAATGCCCATAGATGAAATAGTATTGGAACTTAGCCACAACACTCATTTCTGTATTGTTTTTGGCTGTTTTCCTGGTACAGTGGTAGAGTGAAGTAGTTGGAATAGTGACTCTGAGATGCCTAAAATGTGTACAAGCTAGCTTTTTATAGAAACATTTATAATTCCTAGCCCATAACTCTTGAAATATTAAATGTAAAAGGTGCCAATAAGTGAATAAGTGGACTCATGAAGAAACAGACAACAAATTTAGCATATGTAATAATACCTACCCCCAAAGGACTAGGTAAACCATTGCCAAATATGCCTGCCCCTTGAAATACACCTTGACACACATTTTCCTGGTTTTAGTATGTGAGTCATGTTTGAAATTACCCTGTTGTTCCTCAGAACTAGTTTCAGCTCTAAAGACTGCATTTGCCTGTCCAAAGCTCTGTTGCTGTGCTGGATAAGGAGAAAATTTGGAACTCATTGCTCAGTTGCCTTAGAGACCAATCAGCAGAGCTCTAACCCAAGTTTGGATGTGCTAGTTTTTAATTCAAAAGATCTGTGTGGCACTAGGATGTTTCTAGAATATGTGCCTACTGCCAGAATGGATAAGAACAATCTCAGACCACTGACTGGTAAATGGCCTTTAGCCTGGGATATGGTTCATTCAGATTCCCCAGATCTGGGCCACTCACAGACCTGTAGCAAAACAGCATAATGACTCTAAGTGTCATAATAGGAGTCAAACTCTTTAGACTCCACTTGTAGCATCACTACTTACTGGCTCTGTCATATTAGACATATACATGATTTCAATTCTCTGATCATAAATTTCTTCACCTGTAAAATAATGATAATATTCCCTTAAATATTTTATGCAATACTGGTTTAGTGGTTATACATATTTTTAGGATTTCTTTGTTATGGAAAGTCTCTACTTCTCCAACAATTTTGAAGGCTAATTTTGCAGGATATAAACACCTAAGTTGAAAATTGTTTTGCTTTACATCTTCAAAAACTTCACTCCGAAACCTCCTGCCCTTTGAGACTTGTGCTGAGAAATGTACTATAATTATAACATGGTTGCCTTGCTAAGTAACTTGCTGCTTTTCTTTAACAGTTTTTAGTGTTCTCTCCTTTAAATTTCTGGAACTTTCATTATGATGTGCCATAAAAAAGTTATTTTCTGATTGTGGTTATTTGGGGTTTGCTTTACCTCTTGTACTTGAATTCTTTTCCTATTTGGAAAGTTTTTCATTATGATTTCAGTGAATAAATTTTTATACCTTTTCAGTCATCTTATAATTACTGCTTTATTCCTGTAATGCTGACATTGGCGATTTTTTCAATCATCTGTCAGCTATTAGATCCAGCCTGCGTGCTTTCTAGTCATTTTCAGGGTGTTATTGAGAATGAGAAGCAAGGATGAGGATCACTTAGTCATCTCAATAGACATAAAAAAGTCTGACAAACTCCACCATTCATTCATGATAAATATCCTGAAGGAAATATAAAAGAATCTTATCTCAATTTGATAAAAGCCACACATGACAAACCATTGCTAACATTACGCTAAATGTTAAAAATAAAACTGAATGCTTTTCTTTTAAAAATCAGGAACAAAACAAAGGTATCCTCTACCACCACCCCTATTCATTACTAATACTGGAAACATTAGTCAGAACAATCAAGCAAAAGAAGGATATAAGAGACTCAAACAGGAAAACAAGAAGTCAAACTATCCTTATTTGCAAATGACATGATCTTTTACATAAAAACCCAAAAAAACTTCAATCAAAAGGCTCCTACCAGGGAAGTAATAACCAAATTCACCAATATAGAAGGATATAACATAAACATACAAAAGTCAGTGTAATTCCTATAAACCAAAAAAGAACACACTGAGAAAGAAATTAGATAAACAATCCCAGTCACAATAGCTTCAGAAAATTAAATACTTCAGAACTAACTAATCAAGGAAGTTAAAGACCTCTGTAATTAAAACAATAGCATTCTGAGAAAAGAGATTGAGTAGAACAGTAGAATATGAGAAGACATTCTCTGTTCCTGATATAGCCCATATAGTCAAAATGCCCATACAGTAGTCCCTCGCTGTTTTGCGGCTTGACTTTCCTGGACTCACTGTTTTGCAGAGCTGGCGCAGCATGTGGTGCCAGGGACCGAGCCACGCAGTCCCTGCACTTTGCCTAAGCTTCCCTAAGCAGGTGCTTTATACTGCTGAGCTAGGTTGCCTGCCTTAAAGACTATTTTTTTTTCTGTATCTTAAGGAATGGTCTACAGGGTGTTCAGCATCTCAGTACTAGATCGGATTCATAGTGATTGGCCTGTTTACAGCCTTCCGAGAGCTGGGATTACAGGTGCGTGCCACCATGCCCAGTCTCAATTGCTGTTTCAGCGCTCCCCAGGGGCGGGGCCAGCACGGCAGGCTGCGGTATCGAATCCCCAGCCCCTGGGCCTGCTTGCAGGTGCTTTAATCTGCTGCGCTATTTGGCTGGCCCTTCAAAAACTATTAATCTAAATTATTTATTGCAGATTTTTCACTATATCACAGGATTTTGCAGTACCGTACAACATACGTATGTTGCCAAAATTGCGTGGGTTTATGAGTTTAGAAAATGGTTAAGAATGTTAGAAATGTTTTTAAAAGTGTGGGGAAGGTTTAGAAAGGCTATATATACATACACACACACACACACACACACACACACATATATATATATATATATGTATCAACACTACTTCACTGATTTTTCACTTATCGCATGGATGTCTGGAACATAACCTTCTCGATAAGTGAAGTACCACAGTATTACCACAACTGATATATAGATTTAATGAAATTCCAATAAAAATACCAACAGAATTCCTTACAGAAATAGAATAAATAATCTGAATATTTATATGGAAAAAGAAGAGACGCAGAGCAGCAAGAGCAATCCTGGTGCAATAAGAGCAATCAGGAAGCATCGCCATCCTAGATTTCAAGTTTTATGAAAGACACAGTGATAAAAACTGCATAGTGCTCACACAAAAACAGAGAAGTAGATCAGTGGCACAGAACAGAGGGCGCAGGAACGCTGAGCCATTTGCTTTTTGACAAAGGGTCGAGAATATATGCAACAGGGTCCTGAGTTCAATCCCCTGTACCACAAAAAAAAAAAAAAAAAGAATATATGGTGGAAAAAAGATAGCCTCCTTAAAAAATCATGCAGGGAAAACTAGTTGCTCAGTGCAGAACTAATCTAGATCTACATCTCTCACCCTGCACTAAAACAAAATAAAAACGGATCAAAGAGCTAAATAGTAAGACAGAAACACTGAATCTGCTGGAAGATAAAATAAAACTCTTGAAAACATAGACATAGGCAAAGATTTTCTGAACAAAACACTAATAGTGCAAAATATAACACTAAGAATCAATGGATGGGATTATTTCAACTTAAAATGCTTCTGTACAGCAAAGGACCAACCAACACAGTGAAGTAACAACCTACAGAAAGGGAAAAACATTTTACTAGCTCTTCCTTGAATCAAGGACTAGTATATAGAGTATATAAAGAATGAAAAATATTATGTTCCCCAAAATAAAAGTCACAATCAAAAGCTGGGCAGTTAAAATGAATACACATTTTTTTAAAAATTATTTTTTATTTTAGGGAAGGGTCTAGAGGGTGCTCAGGGTCTCACTACTAGATCGGACACGTAGTGCTCCGCCTGTTTACAGCCTCCCAAGAGCTGGGATTACAGACACACACCACCATGCCCAATCTGAATTGCCGACTCAGTGCACCCCGGGGGTGGGGCTGGCATGGCAGGCGGGAGGATTGAGTCCCTGGGCCCTGGGCCTGCTTGCAGGCGCTTTAATCCGCTGAGCTATTTGGCCGGCCCTGAAGACACATTTCTTAAAAAGAAGTATGGTGCCCAAAAAGTACCTGAAAAAAATTTTCAACAACTTCGTCCTTTAGAAAAATGCAAATTAAAAAAACCCTGAAATTTCATCTTACTCCAAAAATAATAGCTATCACCATAAAATCAAAACCAAGAAAGGCAAAAAAAAGGGGGGGAGGGAGATGGTTCAGTGGAATAATTGCTTCCCTGGCAAGCGCAAGGGCCTGAGTTCAATCCCCGGTTCCGAAAACAAAAACAAAAACAACAAGAAAGGCTAGTGAGGTTGTGAGGGGAAATAAATCCCTCTCCATTGTTGCTGGGAAAGCAAACTAGTACAAGCACTATGCAAATCAGTATGGAGCTTCTTCCAAAAATTAAAGATAAAAATTCAATTTGAAACAGTGGTACCTCTTCTGAGTATCTTCTCAAAAGAGTTAAAGACATCATGTTAGATTGATACATGCATACCTATATTTATAGCAGCAGAACTCACAGTAGCTAAATCTCAGCAAGAGCCTATATTTCCATCAACAGATTTATGGATGAAGAAAACGTGGTATTCCTACACAATAGAGTACCAGTCTGCCATAAAGAAGGATGAGGTTGAGTCATTTGTAGAAAAATGACTACACCTTGAGATCATAATGCTAAGCGAAATAAGTCAGATACCAAAGGTTAAACATCATGTGGCTTCTCTTGTATGAGAAACCCAAACAATAAATAATCCAAAGAGCAATGTAGAACATAGATTATAGGAGAGAGATTGACTCTTTGTGGATAGAAAGGGAATTTATGGATAGAGGAAGAAGAGATGGAGTGATGGGGAACAAAAATAGAAATGAGCTGAGATGTACATAGGTACTAACTCCTTATGATGAATGTATTCATTGTGCATTGAAAACATGTCCTCTTAAAAATTCTAAAAGGCAAAGATAGTAACAAGATCTACCCCACAGCAATGCTGTGATTTTTATATGAAATAATGGCTAAAAATGATTAATGCAATGCTTAGTGCATACTAAAAGCTCAGTAAACACTGACTCCTGAGGTGTACATTTCCCAAAATGGCCTTACCAATTTTTTCCTACCTCCTCTGCTCAGAATCTTTTTTCAGAATTGTCTTTTGCCACTAATGAATAAAGAGAATTAAAAGCCACAGACACTTCATTTGAAGACAGGGGACAAGAGCTCAAGAATCAAAAGGGATACAGGATTAAAACGTTCTGTATCAGTCTGTCATCAATAGTAAACAAGGTAAATTATGAAATACAGTGACATCTGCAAATAAGGAATTCCATTTCATCCCTTGGTCATCATTTCCTCCATTATGGATGGAAAGGAAGGTGAAGTACAAGACCTGGAAGAAAGGCAGATTGGAACTATTTTTGAATTTTTTTTCATTTAATAAATAGTGCACAGGACTATTTGTCAGAGATAGCAAAAAGTCTGAGCCTGCCTGCAGAGGTATTTCACACCTAGAAAGTTAAAGGTGAGGCAACACCATGGGTGATCAAATTCTTTAGCAAAAAGTAAACAAATACAATGAGAGGGATAGAAAAAAATGGACTTTGGAGCTAGAGACACCTTTATATCTGTGGATAGTCACTTCATTAATCCTTTGTTCCACCACAGGCATACCTGCCACTTCTTCCACTAAATGGAAATTTAAATCTAGGAAGAATAAATAATTTGATCAGTATCACTCAATACTGAGTGAATTTAAACTACTGGCCGGGTTCCCTGTCTCCTAATCTAATACTCTTTTCATTATAGTGCAAAAGGAACTATAATATACTATATTGATTTATTAAAAATATGAGTCATGGCACTTGCCTAGCAAAAAACTCTGTTTCAATCACCAGAATAAATTATCTATTATCTGTCTTCCTTCCTTCCTTTCTCCAAATCGTGAAATAAAACTGATGAAAGAAGCACATTAAATGCAAAACAAACAACTTTCTAGGAACCCTATACTTGGCACACCTGAGTAGCCCTTTATAAGAAAGACAAAGAGCCCTAGAAGTAATGAATGAAGTTCTGGGAAAACCATAAAAAAAGGATGCAGGGAGCCCCAGACTTAGGTGTGGGTCAGAAGCAGAAGAATGAGAGTGGAGAAACACGTGTGTGTGTGTGTGTGTGTGTGTGTGTGTGTGTGTTATAAGGAAGGGACTGTGCATAGGTGGGGTAGTAGAAAAGTTCTGGCATGAACAACAGAGAACTTGGTTTAAGTGTTAGCCCATCAATCAGTTCACTGTGTGACATCTGAATCATTTTCTGTTTTTACAAAATCTAGAACTTTGTTTATATATGCACTATGCAATACTGTGGCCACTACCCACGTACAGCTACTGAGCACTTAAAACCTGGCTACTTCTAATTGAGATGTGCCGTGAGTATATAATACACATAGGCTATCAGTGACTTCGAAAAAAATATATAATCTCAATTTTTTTTTGGGGGGGGTACCAGGAGTTGAACTCAGGACCTTGCACTTGCCAGGCAGGAGCTTATATCACTGAGCTATATCCCCAGCCCCACTCAATGTTTTTAATGTGGGTCTTCTGCAGAAGCCCCAATACTATTATGAACTACTGGACTCTTTTAGAATAGTTTGCTGAGTTTACACACCTATAATATTTACATGATGGAACTCTTGTTGCACAGGTCCTGCTTTACCTTGGTCTTAACCATCCAGTAGAAAAGTATAAAGATGAAATATAGGAAATAAAGCCATGCTGTTAAGTTGAGCTGTGGGGGACTCAGGTCAGTAATTTCTGACATTGCCAGTTAAACAGAAGACCCCAA